CGGGGGGGCTTATATTCGGGGGGGGGGCTTATAGTCGGAGGTTTACGGTAATTGAAGTGACGTCACAACTGGGATAAATCTGTTAAAACTTTCCCCTTGCTGACTGGATTTTATTGAAAGGTTTCTTAAAATGTTGCAAGTTCTTTGGAAATTGAAAAGGAATAAAAAAATCACGTTCTATATTCATTTGGACAAATGGTTGCCAAGATAAAAACTATTTTATTATCCCAGTTGTGACGTAATGCATATCGAATGCATATCCAAGATAGTGGGCTGCACGCCATTTCAAGTCGAAATATTTCCAAGACTAAGAATTATACTGGAAATTTGTAAAAGACTTCATATATCATTTTAAAAACTAGGGTACCTGCAAGGTAGGGATTGCTGCAGGCATTAAAAGCAAATAGAACTACAGTAAACAGCACAAATTATATCAAGCACAGTGATTACTCGCAGCGACTAGTGAGCTGTGAATGGAACTGAGAAGAAGCAATATATATTGTAGTAGCAAAGCTCAGGGGTGACAGATATTCACAACCACAATTCCATGCGCTAAATAAAATTTACTTCAAAACCCTCTCTCTGCACATATTAGGCTGCTGCTACGCTCACTCGCTTCAGGCTCGCTCGCTCCGCAGCAATTATTTCCAATAAAACAATTAAAATATACCGACAATGTCTTTAAGTGTGAAAATTCATCAGTCAGAATCACGTATTTTGGAGTTAAATACATTTCAGGCAGTCAAAACAGTAAAATAGTTAAAAGTTTTATATCAACTGCCCCTGACCAACAAAATCGTCTAATGTTAGCAAATATTACAGTATTTATTGCGATTGTGCAACAACCCCCAAGAATATTAAAATAAGATAATTGAAGCTAACTGTATGTGTTAATGCCATGACCAGCAAACCGAACGGCCGTTGGTGGGTAAAAGCTTGATGCCTGTGATATTAGAGAAGGTCTCCGCGAGAGCGTAAACAGGTTGTGGTCAGGAGATGAGGATTTGGTAAATGGTGCTGTTGCTATACTGCATTCCGAGTACTCATCGAAATGTAGCGCTTTGAAATCGTGCGTTCGACGAAAGTGTTTGTCAGTTGAAGTTATAAACCAACTACGTGATGACTTAATGGAAGACATAGAGTTTCTTGAGAAAGGGATGTCTTCGGCAAAGCGTGCGTACGAAGAAAAGCTAGAAAAGTCTTGTGTGTCTGATAATTTAATGATGAAGTTGGCATGGGATGTTGCAGGATATGAACAACTATTGGCGAAGGCAAAGGAATTTCAAAAAGAATTTCAAAAAGATGTCGATTTAATGGCTGATGAATTAAAACTTGGTATTGGCAGAGCAGTTGTTCGCCTACAAGAATTGGAGAAAAATCTACTTCTGTACTACAAGGAACTGTACAGCAAAAAAAGAAACCCGGCAAGTCACTTGGTCGTATTTATGATTGCCGACAAGCTTCGCAATACAAAACCGTATGCCATCCCAATTCAGTTTATACCTATAAAGTCCATTACCGACCAACAGATTAGACTGCTGGAACTTGAAGTCGAAACGGCAATGAAGAGCATCGGAATGGTTCCTGTTGGTAAGTATAATCAGTTAGATATTCCATGGCACAATTAAGGGTGAATGAGATTTCCTTAAAATAGAATGTATGGCCTAAAAAAAAACCTGGGTCGGTAGGTCGGAATTAATTTTTTTTGAATATTTTTTAATGGTTTTGGCGTTTTTTTGCTGGACGATTTGCAGTATAGAGTCCCGACATCAATATTAACTAGAGATGCGTATTTCCTTTGGAAGAATTTAATTAATTTAGTTCAATAATTAGGTGACAACAGTCAACAGACGCCATTTTGGTCACGCTGTATGAGCAGCCCGCAACCACCCGGAGAAAATAGGGTCACACTATCAATCGCGTTGAAAAAGTAATAGGGTCGGCTGAAAAAAATAGGGTCGGTCGGTAACCGGAAGCACAGGTATTTTTTTAGGCCTATTCAATGGCAATGTGATATATTTTTCGTCAGGGGCCGGTTGTTTAAAGCCCGATTAGCGTTAACCCCCGGTTAAATTTTAACCTGCAATTTTTTTAATACACTAGGATTCACCACAGATGGGGAGTTTAACTCATTGCGAACAATGGGCAACAAGCGACCAGTCTCAATATTAGAACTGATTCGAAACGCCAAAGTTATGGCTCGACAATTAGGTGGTAAAACTATTACAAAATACTTTACTCTTAACAAAAACGGTAAGAATGGTTATGGTTTATACAATCTCTGTAAATGCATATGTTTAATGATGGGTTTCTATGTACCAATTTTCCTAAAAGTTAAGACCCCGCAACAACTACCTTAATCTGTTTTTTAGGCACTGGCACTGTTGAGAATGATCCAGCTGTCCCTTTGGAGGACATTATATGGCTACACGACTATATGAACGAAGACAAAGATCATTCGCGACCTTTTGAGAATTATCTTCACTTGCTTAGAAGGAAGTTGTTTCCATTTTCGCACGACCCATATCCTTTTGTAACAGGTAAAATATTTTGTGCATTAAGTATGTTTTTAAACATCATTTGCAAAATGAAATAAATGCATGCACTGTATTTTCAAGGTCGATCGGAGACAAAAGCTGAAATACTTATGTCTATTATGGCTATTTATTTGTTTCGTTGGGAGGTTAATCGCTTAAAAGAGTCACCAGATGACCCAGACCATTCCCTACACCTTTATCAACCTGAACGAGATGATGAAACCCATGAATACTTACATCATCGTGAAGACCATAACCACGTTCTCAAACGATTGATAAACTGTCTGCGAGAAGGCTCAATCCCAGGAATTGACATTAGATTCTTTCGAGAGGCATTGCATGACCCGAACACCGGTCTTACATATGAATCGGTCACTGGTAAAAACAAGCAATCAGTACCTGACTGCGAACGGCTAATATCACCAGCAGTTGTCGCTTTCCTGAGAAAGAAGGGCGACGAAACGGGAGCAAATATTTTGTCGATAGTAAGTAACTGGCATAAAGCGGTAGATGGACGAGGCTTAAACGAAGAGACGCGGTCAGCGTATCTTGCAGATATGAAGAATTGGCTTCTAGATGATTGGATGCCCTGGCATACCTATATTAATGATTATTCGACAATTGATGTCAATAGGTGTGTATACCACAATCTTTTTGAATTACCAAAATTATTTAGTGGAAAATGTCGTGCAATCGACTCTTTCCTTGCGCTTTGCAACTCAACTGAGTAGGAACACCGTTACTCAGGCTTGTCGTTGCTGTATTCGAAGGACGTTTTCTTCAAAATATTTTTATCAAATTACTTACCTTACTTGTTTAAAATTCGCTCAGTAGTAGAATTTGCGCAGCGCTGCGTGCGCGAATTTTAGTACTGCGCGAAATACAATCCGTGCGAAAAGCTTTGTGGTGTAAATATGAGTCACTCATTGTTAGTATAATGCAAATTCCGTTGATATAATCACTGATTTGCATTACTACTTGCATTATGTTATTATATTAAGCAAATGAGGACCATATACAATCGGTAGTAGTGTAGCCAGCCCGACGATTTAGTCCCGCTATGCAAATATTTTCGTGTTCATCAGTTGACTGCGAAAACAATCGATTTATAAAGAAATGAATAATGAAATTTTGCATATTTTGCGTAGCGGGACTAAATTGTCAGGGTAGCTACGCCAATGTATACAATGTTTTAGTTCTTGTTGGTATTTTGAACTTACGCTTTATTGTTATCATTAATTTTGCTTACATTACACAATTTTGAAGCCATTTTTGAGGCCACCTGATCACTTTTTGATTAAGTTTTGATTAAGTTTTGACAAATATTGAAGTATTTGTTGACAAAATATATTCATTATAAATGCGTTAATTGTTAGTAAGTTCTACTAAACAAACGAAAAAGAACGAACACGGCAAATTACTTGTGCGAATTTAATTTGAAAGCTGAGCGAATAAGTCTCAGCAAAGTGCGCAAAATTAACACAATTTTAAAGTTGAGCGAAAATGAGTACGACGCAAATTTTAATACAATTAAGGTAATTGAGTTAACTCCTATTGACTATTTATTTTAGGCCCATCAAAGGTATATGTGGCCTTACTCGAGAATTGGTGGTTGCTCTTGTTGCTAACATAGAAAGCAGGGAACTGCGACGGCACGAATACAAAAGAAGGCAAATGAAGGCGGAACACCCGAGAGCGTCATCAAGTGACGACGTCGAAGGCTTCTTTTCTCTTTTGCACAATATGTTGGGCCCTGTTTTCAACCTAAAGCAATTTTACGACGAGTCTCGTAAAATACTAAATGAGTTCTCGAAAAGGATAAATCCAGTCCTCCCATTTTTTTACTGGTCCGGGAAAAACGAAAGGTTTCGAGATTACGAACTACCAAGTTTCAATCAAGCAAGCAGGCCTGGTGCTGTCGAGCGGCTGGATCAAATAAAAATATCTAGACGGGGCGACCCGGGTGTGTTCGTTGGGAACAGAGCGTCGTTACCCCAAAAAGGGCAATTAACATGTCGCGCAAAGTTTCATAAAACTCCAATTGCCCTACCACCATTAGACAGTGACAGTTAAATGGAATAACAATTTGTGGAATATATTTAAGTATATACATGTTATATAATTAACACTATGTTCCACCAATACATCAATGCATGTGGGTGTCCCGAAAAAAACCCGGTAAGGCCAGGTTTAGTTGTCAAACTTTTCACGTGCCGAATTGATTTTAAAAGAACGTAAACAAAGGTTTTTCCTTACCATTAGATTCAGCACATTGAAAGTTTGACATCCAAACATAGCCCAAATACATCAGAATCTAGGTATAGCTTTGGAACTTTCGAAATGTCACACATAAAAATGGAATATGTCTTACAGGCATACACATGAGAGATTGAAAAAAGGTTGCAGACACAATAGGTAATTTGAATTATAACACGCGAATAAGAATTTGGAAAGTATAGCCTTTCATTTGGGACACCCAGTGTATGTAGGAAAATAGCGATCATGGTGAGAATATCTGCTATTTGGTTTCTTGCACTTCACTTGGTGGAATTAATATTAGAATGTTGAGGTTTGTAATCCAAGTGAGTATATATACATTTTAAGACCCGGCCAGGAACGACTGGAAAAATGCAGCACAATGT